ATATATTTATGTCAAATGTCTCTAACGAGAATAAGAAGAAAGGAAGTTTTTCTTTGCATGGTATCAGAGCCCCGCACAATTTGTTCAACTTCGTCTTCATCATGAAATTGGATTAGGGCATCGTTCATTGTTCAGGTTCATCTGCATCACTCTAATTCGTTTGCTTCACTTGTCTTCGGTTGCTCCATTGCGTCACTTGTCTTTGGCTGCTCCATTTGTGCCTATCGGCTTCGACTTCGACTTTTTTTGCATCACTAGGCTTCGACGGCGTTGTCAATTTCGTCTGCTCAGCTCAACTTCTTCAATTGCTCGTTCGGCAAATTCACCTTCCTCTTGATCGGTGTAGTCTGCATCACTAGGCTTCATCAACTTCAAGGTTCATTGGATTTGTCGGTTATTTTGTTCGACTGCTTAGTTCGCCTTCTTCAGCTTCATTAGCTCTTTTTATTTGTCTTCAGCGTTCATCGAGTCAGTTGTCTCCTATGGCACAACATTGTTCTTCTCTGGAGTTCATTTCGCCCTTCGGCTCATGCATACCATTGCATTGAGGACTCCATGAGTGGAATAAGGTGACTCAATCTCCTTGAATATTCGTTGATAATCATGGTTGTAAAACATAAATATGTTGTGACAAGTTTGGTTTCATCGGTGGCTAAAATTACGGATAAAAAGTTAAATGGTGTAAATTATTTTTATTGGAATAAAACTATGAGACTTTCACCTAAGAAATATTTCTCAAGAAAATCACCTCATTGATAAAACTCAAGTTGAGATCGATTCAAATTATTCTGAATGGATGAGAGTTGTTGTCAAGTTGTTGATACAAATACGGAATTCTATCGAACTTGATCAATCAGTCATATTATTCAGTGTGATTGTGTTAAAGACGCGATGGAGAAACTGGCATTTATACTTTGTGGGAGAAAAAATATTTCTTGAAACTTTGATGTACGCTAGGAGTTCTACTAAGCTAACAACAACATCAATCTCTTAATACGTATCACATGCGCTTTAAACGTATTTATGAAGAGTTGAATGCACTATTGCCCTTCAATATTGATGTCCGAATTCGACAGGCTCAAAGAGAACAAATGGCTATTACAAGTTTTCTAGTTAACCTCAATCCTCAGTATGGAAGTGTCGAATCAAAGATTTATCTGACCATGGAATTACTACACTGAGAAAAGCCTGTACTAAAGTATTATGGATTACTCTGAGTTCTCAAGTTTGATCCGTACAGCAACCTAGTGCTCTTGCTAGCCAAAAAAATACAGATAATAGTAAGGCGCTGTTTGGTTCGGCTTCTGCTGCGCGGCGCAATAGTAAACCTCAGTCTTAGAGCAATTATGAAAGTGAAACTACAACTTCTAAAAATCAAGGTTTGAGAGTAGTTTGTTGTTACTGCCATAAACATGATCATACGAAGAAAATGTGTCAGAAGCTGCTCAAAAACAATCAAAAGGGTTTGTAATCACAGGCAGCTCACATGATCAATATTAATGAGGTCTCTCAAAGTCAGGAAACAATGATACTTGTCTTATTTCCTCTTTCACACGATTGATCACTGATGTTAGTACCATTTTAGTACCATAAATCAGAGGACTGATAATCCATATCTTTTTTCACTTTCAAAAATATATTTTTTCGTCACCTAAGCAGATAGATCTACCTCTAATGTTACATCTTATGCTTTGTTAGTACCATAAATCAAAGGACTGATAATCCATATCTTTTTTCACTTTCAAAGATATATTTTTTTCGTCACCTAAGTAGATAGATCTACCTCTAATGTTACATCTTATGCTTTCCAGACCACTCACTTTTTCAGAATTTTATCACAAAGAAGATTATTGCTAAAGGATAAGAAATCGTTGCATGTGTGTGTGTTTGGGGGGGGCCGAGGGGGGGTGCTAGAGCCATAGCCTGATCTGACACCTTATCTTTGTTTGAGGTTCATTATCGATTATGGCATCCATTTCAACCCATGCTAAAAAATTGATATCCTAATTGCAGCAATTGTAATCTTTAGATTGCAAGTTATGTCAAATTACTAAACATCATCATTTGTCTTTTGTTTCCAAAATTAATTAAAGACTTAGTCATAATTTTGAGTTTTTTCATTTTCATGCATAAGAACTTATCTTGTTTTATTTAATGGATTTTGATATCTTGTCACGTTCGATCACACTTTCAATTCATTTGCGCTGATATTAAAATTCAATTCAATGTTTCTGTTAAGATTCCGAAAAGTGACAACACTAAAGAATATTTTTCTACACCTTTTCAAACATACATGACACAAAACGGGATGTTTTAATAGTCATCGTGTGTTGGTACCTCATCCAAAATAAAATGGTTGAAAGAAAAAGTAGATATCTTCTTGAGATAATTAGAGCTATTTTATTCCAAACTAATATGCCCAAACAATTCTAGGTTTATGCAGTTTCTACTGCAATTTTTTTTATCAATCAAGTGTCCTCTGCGGTTACAGAACACTTACCTGAAAGCTCATGAAACAAGCATGGGGCACTCTCCTAAACATTGTTATGCCCATGTATTTGGATTGTGTAAGCTAATTTGCATTCAACCATATAAAACAGCTGAAGGGATCCTTCACTATGTTCATAGTTAAAAGATGCATGTCAAAAACAGGAAGTAGAGAATTGATGGTATGGAAGATGATAAATATTTTTATTGCAACAGTACATAAAAATACTGCAATGACATATTTCGTAAACACACAATCATCTCCGAGATGGTAAAGAAAAGGAAGTTGCAATCATTATAATTAAAAACAAGGATACTAAGAAACCACAGTGAATCATTGTTGAAGAAAGTCACAAATACACAGCTTTTTTAATTGATACTCAAAAGAAAAATAAAACAAAATTCAAGAAAACATTACCTCAACTTTCCCAAACTTCCAGCAAGGCGAAAGCCAATTGATCTAGCCCTTCCACTTTTAAGAAAGAGCAGAGCATAGACACCCTCAAAAAAAGAAGAAAAGAAAGTCAGCAACAAATTGCAATTAAGTAAAGAAAATTTCAGACAATAAACTTACCATATATTGTTGACTGCCAGCTAAAGTAACATCATGATAGCTGTCAATTTTCTCGAGAAAATTTTGGAACTCATTAACCAAAGACTGGTCTTCTAGAAGCAATGGATATGTCAAAACCTGCAACAGGTAAACCACCAAATTAGTTCTGAAGGAAGATGGTTGATCGTCACAAGGCTTTTCGATGGAATTTTATCTTTCTACTCATAAAGTTCAGATTTTTATCATCCAATCTATTCAATACACACTTTCAGAAAATGCAAACAGAATTCATAATTTTAAGAAAAATTGTTATGGATGAAATATAAATGGAGGGGCAGTCAGCTTGCTCAAGAACTCTACTGATTATTATTTCTAAAACTCCCGTCACTAATAAATTTAGAATAATAAAAATAACAAATAAGCTAAGCCCGACAACTTACTTCAAACATTATGCTAATAACTTCAACGCTATAAGAGTCAGTATCATATTCTCCATGTTTCATGCTTGCATTTATCTTTTCTATATGTTCTGCAACCCTTTCTTCATCAAGTCTACGTAACACTTTCAGAAGCGGGCCAACAGCATCCGCATCATACTCAACATTATAAGATTCTTGAGCCATATGATGCTGGAATATACACTGCATGCACTGCCCCAATTCCACAGAAACCCGCTTCCATATATGTTTCAAAGGTGAATCGCCGCTCTTGTCACTGAAGTAATTATGAAAAGTCTCCAAAAGGGGTCCCATTAAATCTGAAAAGCCACACCATATATGACTTTCTTTTGGTAAATTGGTTAAAAATTTATAACAATCCGAGAACCTGCGAGCAAAATAGAAAAATATTCTTAAGAACAGCGAAATTGTTGCTCAATGTCAGATGATAGTAACACTTACAAAGTTTTAGAATGTAAAAAAGTATGAATGTACTGAAAAATTATCTTCGTTTTTTAAGGTCCCTTTCTAAATTCTTCTTTTTTTTTTGTAGTTAAGACGTGGAAAAGGTATATTAAACTGTAAAATGTTACCAAAGATCTAAAAGTTGATTGATAAAAATACCGAAATAAAAAATGTCAAATCTTGAGGAAAAATCATGCAAATTATCATATTAGAAAAAAAAACTTTTAGTTACTTAAAATACCCAAGCATCGGTCGAAAATATAAATTGCTCAGGTATTCTTTGAATAAATTTGAAAAAATTGTGTTAAACTTCATGAAGCTTTAGATTTCATTATAATGATCTCCGAAATCAAAATCAAGATCAAAATGATTCTCTAATGCAATAATTAATGAAAGAGATAAACTAACTACTTAAACAAGCTAAATAGAACTAAAACAATGGTGCCCACTTTGATTCCATCAACTAGAGGTGCAAGTCAAGTCGGCTCACGAGTTGACTCGAGCTCAACTCGATAACAAGCTCACGAGCCAAGCTCATTGAGCATCGAGCTCAAGCTCAATCTCGATCTCAAGCCAGAATTCTAGCTGGTTACATAATCAAGTTCGAGTTTAATCAATTACTGACTCAACTTGTTGTCATGTCGGCCAGCTCGAGTTAATACGTTGTAGTTCAGTACCCACTCCCATTCCCTATTTTGGCAAACCACACAACAACCGCAATCTATAATACCTTAAGCCCTACTTATTTTCACCGCCTCTCTATCTCTCTCAATCTCCCTTTTCTTCTCTACAATGCATCATTTTGTAGTGCGCCTAACATTTCTTCTTCCTCTCTACCTCCCATTCGTTTATCAGGACTCAAACCTCAAGTTCGTCTTCTCCTTGGTCAATAGTCGACGTTTGCGACACCAAATATTGGATTCAACATAAGGTCCTCGCCAACACCAAGCACTAGGTGTTAAAAGGAAACGAATTCGTGCAAGATTTATTATTCTCCAATTTTTGCTAATTCATTTTCTTCTTTGTTTTAGGAAGCTGAGAAATCTTTCTCCACAAGGAAAATTTAATGAATGTATTGTAAATATTACATGTTTTTTCATCAATCGACTAATATAAGTTATAGTGCTGATTTTTTTTATGTTTAATCCCAATAAAAAATTTTTAGTGCTTAAATTTATCATATTGAGCTAACTATATTGACGAATAATAGTGCTCATATTAGATCAAATAATAAGCATAGTATATTATAGTCTTTTTTTTTAATGCTTAAATTTTATTTTAAAATAATTTAGCCCCGTAAACTTTCAAATCGTCGGATATTATAGTGCCTACTATTTCAAGCCAAAAAATAAATAAATGGGGCTATAATCAAAAGACCCAATTTTTTCGTACATACTAGAATTTTGATGTATACTTTTAATGCATATTAAAAAGAAAAATATACATAATAAAAATTAAAGATTACTTCTTGTAAGTATATTTTTTTACGAAGTTTATTAAGTATTATGTAGTCTATTTTAATAGATTAAATTATGCACGCTTTTATATTGATGGATCTAATGAATCTATTAAAATATCTTAATGTAAACCAAATATTTTGTGACAATCTAGAAAGACTAATTTTCCATTCACTTGATCTAGACTGGTAAAGTCAAACTAGATGTTAATAGGAAATCTAACTAACTAGGTCATTCATCTCTACTATGGCTCGTGCTTAACTAATAAAGGGTCAAAATGAGGCATGGAAATCAACCCCCGCATTTATACCAAATACGATGAGTACAAGCCTCAACCCTCTAAAACTCTCAAAAAGCAAAAAAATCCCAAATATTAAATCAAAAGTCAGAAATATAAAAAGCATACAATAAGCCTCCCAAAGATATAAGCCTCAACCCTTTTAGTTAAACATACACAAAGCCATCAAAGCCATCAAATTAAACCAAAACTCGTATCATCTTACAAAAGGTGAGATCGTATGACATGTTACTAAGCTTTCCTTGTCCTTGAGATTGTGGGTGCCCGTTATGGGATAAAATTCTTACTCTAGCGGGAAATCTTATGAGCAATAACTTTATTTTCCCCATTTTTATGAATTTGGGACAAATAACTAATCATTTGTGAATTAGTTATGACTATTACAAAACTTTGTCTTTAGTGTATTTGAGTCTATCATTGTATGATGTTGTTGCCATGGATCTCAACTAAATGGGCTTTTGTAACATACATCATAAGGTAGATGACATATATTTATTAGAAGATAAGTGTGCTTTTCCTTGTTGAAGGAAGTATCATTAATCTTTGTTTTAAATATACTTGCATGTTTAATTGATTTTCAATCAATCTCTATAAAGTCAATCATACCTTACACATTTATATAAAATTTTATGTTCATATTGTTATACCATCTTTATTGTAATTTGCACTACCTTATTAATCATTACATAAACTCAATGTCCTTTCAAAATAAATGATTAAATGACCTTATTTTATAAATGCATTAAGTTAGTTGATACAAAATAAAATTGCTCATTGCTAACTGTTAGTATGATGTAAACTTTTCTCGCAGGGTAATACGCAATATGTTATAGCACAATACTCATTGCAAAAAGATTTATATGACATATACTTGCATACTTGATGGATGAGAATTTTGATAGCAACCTCTTAATGATATGATTGCTAAGCCGAATCAAGCCCATAAAGTAAGGAACCTTAGGAGGTTATTAAACTCCATTACATTGGTGACAATCTTCCTAATGGTCAAAGTATTCCAAAATTTTAAACTATGCATTAAAAATACAACAATAGATGATTGATGCATGTACATGACTTAGCATTTGAATGCATTGGAGATCATTTTCAACATATATTTTTATAAATTCTTCTTTGTAAAAACTAAAATTGAATTGCTTCCATATATGATAATCTGTCATGTAAGATGGTTTTGGTACGGTGGTTACAACTGTGTCATGATATTGCATTGTTAGTCGAGCAAATTTCATTGATTATGTTGCATGTTGTTTCCTATCATTTATCTTTCATAAATCAACGTTATCAATTGCATTTACCCAGTAAATTAATTTATTGCTAATTTTCTCTTAATAGAGCATGACAAGTTGATCGATAAATGGTAATAAAAAAATGTAAACTAGGCAGCAAGAAGTATTTTGCCGTAATTACTTTTTCAGTGGCGTGTCTTTTTTAAGACTCTGGTGTAGGATTCAGAATGACTTTTTATGAGGTAATTCATTCATTTTTTTTATTATTTTGATGGTTTAGTTTCCGTTAGTGATAGACTGCTGAAAATTTATTTATTCACTAACTTAAGCATTTCATATATCTAATGATTATAAATTTCTTACATATGTTTCAATATGAATCATTTTACCATAAAATCAGATTGGTTTACTTGATCATGACTTTGTGGCTTAACCCGCAAGTTAGGATTAAGTGTTTGCATCATGCCCCATGTTATAAAGGTGTATTATATTTCAAACCAGAGTGTAGATCTATTCTTCTTTTCAAAAAACCAACTAAAATAACTTCAAAATTCTTCCTAATCCTGCCACCCGAATATGATTACATGTTTAATTCAAGTCTTTCCACGTTATAGTTAAAAAATATATATTAATCAATACTGCACTACTTTTTCATGATTTATACTTGACAAAGATCTTCAAAAAAATAATTAAATCTTACTTAATTGTTCTGTTGGAGTTGCATTCACACTTCTAAAACATTCATTCTCTTAAATAGTTTATGAAAACAATATTCTAGGTGAAATAATACCAAAAAGAAAGTTCAAAATGATACTCTCATCAAGGAAATTTAAGCAAGGGCCCGAATGAACATAATATGTAATCCTGATTTGCTATGCAGTTATAGAATTCTCATGGTCTGATTGTCCCAAGAGATAAAACTTAACTGCTTAAATGGATATTCTGAAAAGAGGGTTCAAGACAAAGAGAAGAAAGACTTCGTTAATTTAGAAGACCATTAAAGTGGAAGCACGATTCAAATAAAAACAACAAAGCATTGTTCCCACTAAGTTGGGGGGGTGGGGGGGGGGGGGGGGGGCACCCAATTCCCTATCTACTTAATGCCCCAATCTAAAGCCAAACTGAAAAACACCATGGTTAGCCGATGTGTATTCAAAGTTCAAAGCATAAAAATGAACAATTTCATCAATGGGAAGAGTTTCATTGTCTACTTGTTTATAAAAATCTAAATTTAGAATAACCCTCAACATTTAGTTGGTATATTAACTTTTCTTTTCGTGGTTGTGGTCAAGGTGAGCTTCTATATCCCTGCTTTTATGCACCTATCTTATAAAAAGCTGGCACGTCCTAGCAGAACATTCCTTGCTAATAAGTTTAGTTTACCTAAGCATTCAGATGCTTTACTGCTTCTGCTGCGCTCACATTATGTTTTTTCAGGTAGCAACAACTTCATTACCATGAATGTAGATTCTAGAGCGCTGCAGAAATAGGCGCTGTCGTTGAGAACCCAAACAGCTGCTAAAATTAGTGTCGGAAGAGGAAAATCAACTTTCTTCTAACAAAAAAAAAACATATATACTACTCATTTCATAATGCAAAATAATTCTGTCCTGTAGCTTGCACTCATATAAACTTGTATAAAGAACTCCTTCCCCAATATTTCCCCTATAATTATAATGTTGTGAGGGAAACCCGCAGAGAAACGAAACCAAATACCAGAAGATATAAACCGAATGAAACGATCCAAAGTTTAGGAAATGAGCATGGATGAAGGAATCTTACCAACTCTCCTTCGCAAGTCGAATCTGCCGCTGCTTTGTTGGGGACGGATCATCTTCGTCGTCTTCCTCTTGAATACCCATCCACCGATCGAGTAGCTCTCTTCTGCCGCACGTCCTCTTCGCCATGGGATTTCGGCGTAGACGGTGGCCTGGATACAACCCTATCGATCGAACCTAGCCCTCTTTGTGAACCCCTCCTTGGATGCAAAGAGGGTTTTGGGGGAAGATGAACAAGGCAAGCCGAGAAAGACTTCGGAGGGAGCGTGCATTTGGTGACTATTGAAGAGATTATTTTGTTAGTTTGTTAGGTATATTGATGCATACCCTATATAAATCACATAATTTTCTCTTACTCATTGTGATAAACATTAATATTTAGGGGCACTTACATGCATAAACCATTGAATTCTTATGTTATGTATCAATTTTAAGGTTCCATCAAAGTTTGAATAAGATTCAATGATTGTTCTATCATTATTCAAATATGATTTGAATTGTGTTGTTTTGATGTCTCGAGCTCTTCTTAGATCGACTTATTTGAATTATTGTAGTATGTATAGTATGTACATAGAGGTTGTGGTGGTTAGAAATTATAAAAATAGAAGTGTGATAAATAAATTATTAGATAATTCAATGATGATGACTCTTATCATCATTAAAAAAAAGTATCATAGTAAATATGAATAGTGATTCAATTTTTGAGTTGGAATTTTCTAGAAGTGAAAAATCATCTAAACTCAAAGTTTAGCAATTTTATTGTAAAATTTGATAGCTTAATAAGATGAACTCCATGGCATAAGTAGTGATCAAAGTTATGTTTAGATGATCCAAAATCAATCAAATGGAGTGTGTTTAAAACTTTTAAGACATCTATTGATATATTAGTATTGCATACATTCACTTGAAAGTGAACATCTTAATAACAAAGAATCCAACAAGTCTAATATAACTTAACTCTAAAACATTATGATATTCAAAATTTAAATGGCTAATTTTGAAAAAATGTAATTATTGATGGTTCATTTAATAAAGTATATTGTGTAATAAACCTTTTTTTTTTCTTTGGACAATGTTATTTCATTTCGATCAGCTCAACTCAGACTCCTCACTGTATCAGTGCTTTGATCCTGATTTAGGCTTTAGGGCATCACATGAGATAGAGGGAGATGGTTGGTGGGTATGGTCGGTGTGACTGAGCAAGTGCCTTGGAAGTTATGTGCAAAAGCCTAAATATGAGATTGGAGAGAAACAAGTTTACAACGACCAATGAGGTGAATCTCACAAGTTAAGGGTATGTGAAATAATCTGACAAGGTAACACATTTCCATATTATAGGTGCAAGTGACCCAAGTGGAAGAGACCAGGCATAATGGAGTTAAATATTGTTGCTTGGACGAGGAAGCATGATAAGGTGAGTGCCCAGTGTTTTACAAAGAATAATTCTAGGGCATCACATTAATTATTTTCATATTCCTTTTTATTTGTGTATGATAAAACCAATCAAGTCTTATGTTTTTTTTATTATTATGGGAAGTTTAGGTTTATCATTAAGAGCAAATTTGTTGGGTAAGAAAATATTTATACATGTTAAAATTAAATTTTCTAATGTTATGTTTAATTTATTTCGAATATATTAGTACATAAGTTGGGTTCTCTTCTATACTTTAGAACAAAATAAATATAATATAATTATATTTAATCTTCACGATTTGAGGAATTAATCCTTGGCTATTATATAAATGGTTCTTAATAGCTTTTATGGGGAAAATTTTGAGATTATAATATTTTATGTGTCGATATTTAGTTAGCTCGAGCTATGTGAAATTATTATGAATGTTATGAAAAAGTAAAACATTTATTCTATAATTTTGGGAATATAAGATGTGTTGACCTTGTTTTTTTATGAGTTTTATTTAACATTCCTCTATCTGTAGAGCTTAGAATGTAGCCCTGAGGTTTTCTTAGTGATTTTCCTGTGAGACTGCTGGAGGAACTAATACCAAAATAGAACTTCAAAATGTATCTTCACTTTTTATTATAAGATCTCATCATGTTTATCACTCACTTCAATGATTAGTCATGCTACTGCCTTGAACACCTGTATATTACATATCTTAGTAAGTATATTGCTAAATTTATTTTATGTATTGTTTTATCCTCATCAAATTTCTCTTAATTATGTTTTGTATGTTACTTGCGAGGTACATGAGTCACGGTTCGAACACTGAGGGCTCATGAGAGAACTTCCCAGTTCTCCTTCTAGTTCATACACAAGAAGTTGAAAGATGAATCAAACCCCTAAGATGTGATGGTCTAGACTGCCCTTGCAAAGCCACTTCAAAGCATCTAACACACCAAGCATTAGACCTTCTCGCATTTATAAGGCACCAAAGGGTAGCACACCCCTCTTCATTTCTTATTCATTTTCACAATGACCTGCATAACTTATTAGGCAGCTTGCTTTGTTTTACCCTACACTAAAATTTAACCAAAATAATAATAAAATATTTGAGTTTGGTGAGCTATAAAAATGTTTAAAATTTAAATTACAATAATATATTTGCATTAGTCATGAAACATTATGCATACAGTCATGCTTAAAAAATTTGATTTTATAATCAATTTGTAAAACCTATTATTCCTAATAAAATAACAACATATCATTCTTTTATTTAACAAGACTGATCATGCATGATTTTAAATGTGACTGGGTTGTTTAGATAATATTCTTTTCCAAGCAGGGTTGTAGATCCATTGCATTTGTATGTTTTAGTTCTTTCTTTTTTTCTTTTGAACAGGTTTCTAAGGTTTCACTAATTCCAATAGATCTTAATTCAATCTCATGACTCTGAAGTTGTTTGTTTAGTCATGACATAAATTATCACCTCCTATGCTTTCTCATGATCATATATAATGTGATTTAAAGCCTAACCTTTAATAAAAGGTCAAGATTAAACATCAAATGAACTTCTTTCAAAATCAATAAATCTGGACAATGGGATAGTTCAGATGTCACTGAGTTTCTCAATATCCTCGATATCTCCTTGACATTTATATGTTTGTGTTGTTTCTTTCCTTTAGCTCAGGTTTCCAATGTTTCATTTATATCAGTGAACCTTAATTAAGTCCCATGACTCTGAAGTTGTTCGTCTAGTTATAGCATAAATTATCGCCTCCTAGGCTTTCTCATGATCATATATAATGTGATTTAAGACCTAACATTCAAATAAAATGTGAAGATTAAACAACAAATAAACTTATTTCAAAATCACTAAAGTCAAACAATGGAACAATTGAGATGTCACTAAGTTTCTTAGTATTCTTCAGTTCTTCTATCTTTTCTTCATTTGGGTTCCATTAATAATTGTTTCACTTTTGAGTTATTCTCATTTGAAATTCCTAATAATTAACAGCGAAAACCTAAGCTTTGGAAATTTTTAAGTACAAAATTGCAACCTTAATCGAGAGTTTTCTTAAGTAAATTTGATTGCTTAATATATAATTAAATGTAAAGGTTTACCCTTATAGGAAGTTCGTAACCCATATTTAATCCAATTCTTATATAGTCTTTTATTAGATAGATGAATTATTTGTCGATTTTAATTGCAGACCGTTGCAAATATCTAAATTTTTTTAATTGAAATAATTAAACTCATTTTAAAGAGGTACTTCTATCCCTTGAATTAGCATATTACTTTTGATACCGTTTAATTATTCAAATAATTAAATCTTCAAATTTGTATGAATCTATAAAGATGTCATCCTCTTCAGAAAAATAAAACCGACAAGATGTTATAATAATTGAGCCTTAAAGAACATATTCAATATTTCATAAAACCATGATAAATTATTTAATATGTAAGGAGATTAAATAATTCATAATCATCTATTTGTCGAGATAAAGCAAATTACAATATAAAAAAAAATATATATATATTATATATATATATATATATAATTAAAATTGAATAGAACTTATAAGAATCAAATATTATGAAAGATGACATAGATTTTATTAAGCCACATGAAAATTACATTTTGTATATATTGAAATCATTAAACAATTCATGATAATTTAGAATTAATCACTAAAGCATAAATTAGAACATTTCATAGAAATCATAAGTATAAAATTATATTAAATTTATCTTTGTGAATGCTTAATGAATTGATGTACATTGCATTGAATGGGTTATTTGGTTAGATTTTTTTTGTATATGGGATTTATGGAGAATTGTGTATTAGAATAAGATGATATGTGTCATCATTAGAATGGTTGACAACTTGTTTTTTCTTTTTTGGTAGGTGATTATTTGTTGAATAAGAGATAAATGTATGTGATATTTTTTGTTACTCTTCGTATTCTTTTATTTCTTATAAATTTATTATGAAATGTGCTTATTTAATAATTGTATTTCTTATGACCATATTGTTGTGATATGATGTTTATCTAAGTCTAGTTTTCTTAATAAACTTCATTTATATTCAATTGACTCTTATAATTGCACTATTTATTATTTGTATGTTATTTCTCTAAAATATAAATTGTAAACTTATATTTGAGATAGATAATACTCATAATAATTAATTGTCTGTGCATATTTAATATAATAAAATTGACACACCATCAATAATTTTCTTAATTGGCAAAAATCTTGAGACAATCAACACCAATCTCGGAGCATATTTTGAGCAAAAACTATTCAAACAAAGATAAAAAATCATTGAGAATCATGATCTCAGCAAACATAAAGTCCAACTGATGGGTTCGACCATAAGACCACAATGAATGCAAAGTTGGTCCAATCCGGGTTAAGTTATGTCTAAATCGAGCTATAAATCTTTTTTTAAAGTTTTGGTATCCGACTAGAATTTCAAACGTATTCCAAATTTGATAAGCTTATAGTCAGATCAAGCGTCTGTACAAAATAATCCAACATGCCCAAACTCACTCGATTTTGATATCATTAAGACACTCAATTGTCCACAATATATCGTTTGATTGAGAGAATCTCTCTGAATTGTTCAAGAAAGAGACATGGATTACTATCTTATTGGCAACAAGGTTTTTCTTAGACTCTATAAAAAGGGCTCGAACCCATTCATGTAGATGGGGTGAAAAGATGAACCTTGAACTGGAGCTAGGTTGAGACTTAGAGGAGAAGGAGTTGAGTTTGGTGTTCTATATCAAAGGCAAGATGAATGTCACCAACTCCTGCAATAGACAACAATTGCCGACCATCACTCACCGACCACATTTGGCCATCCCCTGCTCATTG